TTAGTTGTCCAATTAATTTCTTTCTATTTTTAGTAGAGACGGGGTCTCGCTCTTGCTCAGGCTGGTTTCGAACTCCTGAGCTCAAACAATCCACCCGCCTCGGCCTCCCAGAGAGCTAGGATTACAGGCGTGAGCCACCGCGCCCAGCCTATAAAGCCTTTTAAACAAAAATGGTTTGGTTGTTCTAAAATGAAACACAGCAACAGGGGTGGAAATTGCTTGCTAGAGACTTTTTACCAAAGTGTAAGTATTTCAACTGCAAACTTACCTTATGGGAAAAGCATTATTCCTAACTTGAAATTCACATCAAAATTTATTGAGGAAAAACCTGACATGGGGTTCGAGGGAGTATCCAGAAGACTCATAGGTTCAAGATTTGGAAGAACTAAAGGTCTGGCCTTCCTGTAATTAGATTAAGCAAAATTTCAGGTCCTTATTACAGGGTGTTTTCATCTTGATATAATCAATCAGTATTTATTGAAAATCTAATATGCATTCAGCACTCCTAGGAATGATAGGAGATAGAGGAAAAGTAATAGACATGGTCTCCCCCACCATGACACCCATGATAGATGACATTCATATAAAAGGCACACTGCTAGGGGCTGTGGCATAGATAAGATCATCTGATCAAGGGAGCATATTGGAATTCAAATGAGTGACAGAAATATTATCAAAAGATAATATCTTGAATCTATCCATATATATCATTCACTCACAGACTTTGGTACTTTTTTTATTAGTAACAGATTACATGCTGTATACTATAATTTACCATGGCACACCAGTTTGTTGTGAAGTGAAAGTTGAAAACTGCTGTTTTGGCACTTATGACACTGGGGGGGGACAGGGTTTACTCGTATAAAATAACTGAATAATTCAGGATCTTATAAGATATACTGAAATGTGGGGATATGTATTATGACTGCTCCTTAAGGGCTTTTATAGTCAAGGAAAGCCTGGTGGAGAAAATGGCTGCTAAAAAATGGATAGCATGTCAGTTCAAGTTCTAATTGCAAGCAGGACACAATCTGATCAATTTGAAGCAGAAAAGGAATTTATTAAAAAGATATCAGGACATATGGCATACATACCCTTTGACCCTACAATTTCATTCCTAGATATATACCCAACAGACACACATACATTCGTTTACCAATGTGGGCAAGAATGTGTACAACAGCATTTGTAATAGAACCAAACTGGAAACTATCCAAAAGCCCATCAGCGGTAGCGTAGATAAGTAGTGTAGTATTCACCTGATAATACAAAGCTATACAGCATCGAGAATGAATAAATTGTAATTACACATAACATGGGTGAATCTCACAAAACATAATATTGAATGAAAGAAGCCAGACAAAAAAGAGAGCATTGTGAATGATTCCAGTGATATCAACTTGAAAAACAGGTAAAACTTATCCATACTGTTAGAAGTCAGGATAGTGGCTAGCCTTGGGAGGGGAATAGAAAGTGGAAGGGGAAACAAGGGGGCTTTGGGAGTATAGTTGACCCTTAAACAACACGGGTGGTTAGGGACATCAACCACCTGCGCAGTTGAAAATCCACATGTAACTTTTGATTCCCCCAAAACTTAACTACTAATAACCTACTGTGACTGGAAGCCTTACCAACAACATAAACAGTTGGTGAACACATATTTTGTATGTTATATGTATTATATACTGTATTCTTACAATAAAGTAAGCTAGAGAAAAAATGTTAAGAAAATCGTAAGGAGGAGGAGGAAGAGGACGGATTGGTCTTGCTTTCTCACAGGTGGAAGAAGATCTGTGTATAAATGGACTCACACAAACCTGTGTTCAAAGGTCAGCTGTACTTGTAACATTCTGTTTCTTGATACAAGTGGGTTCAGTTTGTGAAAATGCTTTGAGTTGTAGACTCAATGTTACGCGCACTTTTCACTTAATTTGTTATGCTACGTACTTTCCTATATGTATATTACATATCAATAAAATGTTTGCATTATTAAAAATGTATATTGGGTAGGTGGGAATTACTGCCACTCTTGGCTGTATAGCCCAAAGCATGATTCAGTACCCCAAGTCCTGCCACTAAACTGCACTACCACCGCCAAGCCTGAAACTGCAGCTCACTCTGACGGCCTTGTTGCCTGGGAGCTTTATCCTGCTGCAGCTATTCCACCCCACCCTCCCAACAGCCCCCTTCCATTTGAAGTTCTCCTATTTAGAGTCTCTGGGTGGATACCTTTGTTAGGCAGAGCCTAGCACAGGTGCTCCTCCTTGCTGCAAGGGAGGCTGGGAAAGCAAGTATCCAACATTTTCAGTTTTTATAGTAGATGGTGACATCTGCTAGAAAATGTAACAAAGAGGGAAGGTTTCAGATTTTGGACCACCAAAAAGAGAGGCAAATCCATCTTGAGGCGAACATTTAGGTCAGTAGAAGACAGTGGGTTTCAAGTGTTAGGAATAGCAGAAGCCCGGGGTAGAGGCTGAATAGAGTATAGCATTTGGGTCCAGTAGAAACAAGTTTAACCGGATTAAAGGGTGTGTTCTGGGAAAATGGTTTGAGAAAAGTTGAAGGAATAGGGTGGGACAAGATTAAGGATTACTTTGAAAGTCAGGCAGAGGCAGAGCAATTTAAATTAAATATGGGAATTTTGGAGGCAGTAAAAGTTTTTGAATAAGAAAGTATCCTAAAAGGAAATGATATTTAAGACTATTAAGCTGGCAGCACTTCTGGGGGCAGCTAGGAGCTGTCTGTCCTAATTTAGGGGTGGGGTGGTAAATTGGGAGTAGAAATAAAAGGCAAAAGTTGGATTTAAGAGAGAATTTTCAGGAAAAAGGAGGACTTTCTGAAGAGAATGAAGTAGAAACTATTTCCAAAACTTCCAAGCCTGAGCAATTGATCCTGCCTTTCATTTAGAGCTAGAGAGGCTGAGGAGTGAACTCGTTTGGAGGAAGGAGAAAAATGAATTTTAGTTTGGGAATTGTTGAGTTTGAGGTGAGAGGTATCTGAGTAAAAGTGATCCCTGTGCAGTTGGAGATAATGACAGGGAAGTAGAAAGAATCCCTCCTCCCGGGCAGAACCAGTGTGCGGGAGCCCTCAGGGCATTTCCCAGTTCTCATTTGTGGGCTGCTGGGTAGACTATCTTGAATTTTATTTCAAGTGATAAATTTGAAGGGCGACCTGTGCCTTCTCTTTCATAAAATTTCAATTCTCATACCTCAGAACACATTGATCCTATTGCTCTTTTACATGATTTTCTTCCTACTGCTCTAATATCTCTGGAAAGAAAATGATTAATACATATGAGGCTTTTCCTGGTTGTTTTTAATAGTTTTGAATGCCTTGAATACAAGGAGAATAATATGCTAAAGCTAGGGACTTTAAACAAGACTGAGAGAGACTGCATATAAAAAGTAAACCTCCAGTTGATTAGAAAAATTATAAGTTGGTATTCTCGGCACCACTGCAGGGTAGCCTTGGATCAGTATGACAGCTCTCTTCCATATTGTACTTATAAAAGAATGGTCATAAAACCTACTTAGGCCTCAAAGGTCTTTTTGAGCCGTAGCCAATGCATTTAGTCACTGTCAGTAACCACAAGCTTCAGCATAATGTTCGGGCATGCTAAGGCAGCCAGGTCTCCAGAGCATGACAGTAGGCTCTTGTGTACGACTTGAAAGCTGTTGCTGAGGCACGCCTTCTTGGTATTCCTCTTAGGACATTTTTCTGTACAGTTTATAGCATGTCCCTGCCTGTAGATGACACTGGATTGCTCAGATATCATTAAAGGGTATGGAGCTATCTTAGCAGGAAACAGCTTACCCTTTGGGTAATGTGTGAGACAGTGAAGAAAACCCTTAAATGATTGCCCAATATTTATGCTGCTGTTGCATTTGCTGGCATATTTTTCCCCCTTTGAATTAGTATTTTGAGTCCTTGGGCTCTTCAGTTTAATAGGTAATGTTACTATGTTTAAGTATAGAAGATTAGACTTGAGTTAGCTGAAAAGTCCCAAGAGTTAGCTGAAAAGTCCCAAGGCTTTTCTTTCTCTGTAAGTTCTCTCTGCCTCAAGAGGTAGCAGGTTGAGAATTTAGGAAGTAACTTTGAGTCTATGTCAAAAGATTCATCAGCCTTTCTAATCAATTTAATTTTAAAGTAGAACAAAGTGATAAACTTTGCATGTATAAAAATTAACCTTTTTCTCCTGGCTCTAACAGTCTTTTGCAACTCTGCTTCTTTGATCATGTGATATGCATGCGTCAAAAGAGCTATCCTACATCTTATCACATCAGAATAAAATAGTTGGAAAGACATCTGTGTGTCATAGGTCACGTAGCCTGCAACAGGATTTTAAACAAGACCATAGAACACTAGATCTATCATTATTTTTGCAGAGAATGTTTCCCCAGCTGGTTTGAGAGAGGCAGAAATTTAATGCCCCTACCAGGCTTCCCTTTACCTTACTTACCTCGAAAAAACAAAAGTCCTGGCTGGGTGCGGTGGCTCACACTTGTAGTCCCAGCTGCTCGGGAGGCTGAGGCGGGAGGATCACCTGAGCCCAGGAGTTAGAGGCTGCAGTGATCTATGATTGTACCACTGCACTCCAGCCAGGGTGACAGAGCAAGACCCTGTCTCTTAAAAAAAAAAAAAAGTCCTAACAGGCAAACTATAATTGCCTAAAACAAAACTTGCAAGGGACAGATAAATGTGGAAAGGGATTATTAGGAGGCAGAAGGCAGATGTCACCAGTCCGTACCATTACCTAAGCATCCTAGGTCTGGTAACCATTCTTTTGGGAAGAGATAGTGCTAACTTTATTAATAGGATTCCATTAAAAATACAAAGAAAAACAATCACCAGGATACCCCATATATATTAAAAATACTTTGTTTCATTTTAGAGCCGGTTGAACTTCAGTGTTGGATAGAGCTTGTTTTTATTTTTTATATATACTTTTGTAGTATAATTTTAAAATCTTATCTTTTTTTTTTTTTTTTAACTAAATCCAGGAGTTGTCCGGTCTTATGCATTGGAACTTAATTTGACAGATTCAGGAAAAGCCACTTGCCTTTATGCAAAATGGCATATGAATTTTACAATACAGTATGAAACTACAAACAAAACTTATGTAAGTAAATTTTTAAATTTTTCTTTGAGTTTAATAGTAGGAATTTAATTCTCTTTTAATCTTTTAGGTACATGTATACAAATAAAATTTCATGTTAACTAACTTAACACTTAAACTATGTGATTTTTTATTTTAAACATACACACTTGAAAGTATTCTGTTTAGTGTTGGAATGAATATTTCTTCTGATTCATTGATTCTTTGGAGTTTTTTTTTTTTAAGAGTTCAAACTTTTTATTGAACATGTTACAAAAGAGATTTAGTCAAAAAGACCAAAGCCCATGTCATCATCAGACTCCTCAGATTCTTCTTTCTTTGCTTCCACTTCCTTCTCCTCAGCTGGGGCAGCAGCAGTGGAGGGGGCAGGACTTCCTGCTGGTGCAGCACCAGCTACTGGAGCAGGTCCACCAGCCCCTACATTGCAGATGAGGCTCCCGATGTTGACATTGGCCAGGGCCTCTGCAAACAAGCCAGGCCAGAAAGGTTCAACATTTACACCAGCTGCTTTTATAAGGGCATTGATCTTATCCTCCGTGACGGTCACCTCATCATCGTGCAGAATGAGTGCCGAGTAGATGCAGGCGAGCTCGGAGACGGAGGCCATGGCGCGGGCGAGTACGGGGCTGGCGCTGCCAGGCGCGGTGCTAGTTGCCGGATGAAGTGAGGGCCTCACCCCAACGCAGCCTTAGCTTCCTCGGAAGGACCGAGCACCTTGGCGGCAGCAGAGGAAAGGGTCTTTGGAGTTTTTCTTGAAGTTGGTTAAGGGCAAATGAACTCAAGACTATATGGTGTGCAGGTCTAACTACTTCTGTAATATGTTTAAAATGTACTAACACCAAAGCTTGCCCTTTTTAAAATAGCTTGCTATTATTAATAAAATCTGGCTGGGCATGGTGGCTCACACCTGTAATCCCAGCACTCTGGGAGGCCAAGGCAGGAGGACTGCTTGAGGCCAGGAGTTCAAGACCAGCCTGGGCAAAGTAGCAAGACCCTGTCTCTACAAAAAATAAAAATAAATTAGCCAGGGCATGGTGGCGCATACCTGTAGGCCTAGCTATTTGAGAGGCCAAGGCAGGAGGATTGCTTGAGGCCAGGAGTTCGAGACCAGCCTGGGCAAAGTAGCAAGACCCTGTCTCTACAAAAAATAAAAATAAATTAGCTAGAGCATGGTGTTGCATACCTGTAGGCCTAGCTACTCGAGAGGCTAAGGCAGGAGGATCACTTGAGCCCAGGAATTCGAGGTTATAGTGAGCTATGATCAAACCACTGCACTCCAGCCTGGGCGACAGAATGAGACCCTGTCTCTAAAATAAATAAATAAATAAAATCTCCCTTCTTTGGTGTTTTCATTAAGGTCCTGCCTACTTACAACCTAATTTTTTAAAAAAATAAGTTTAAGAACAGCAGTTTAGGTCAGTTTTCCTTTTCTTTTTAGACATACATGAATTTGTCCAGAGAACTGGTATGTAGCTGAAAAATCTGAGACTGGTTTACACAGCAAACCAGGCAAAGGGCAACCTGGCCCTGGGGAATGTGTGATTTGGGCTGAAGTGGCACACCCTACATAAATGCTTGGGGCTCCTTACTGCCTGCTTGTTCCTTACCCCCAAACTTCTATTTCTTTTAGAAAACTGTAACCATTTCAGACCTTGACACCGTGACATATAATGGAAGCATGTGTGGGGATGATCAGAATGGTCCCAAAATAGCAGTGCAGTTTGGATCTGGTATTTCCTGGATGGTGAATTTTACCATGGTGTCATCATCATCTTCTTATTCAATTGACAGCATCTCATTTTCCTACAATACTAGTAATAGAACAATGTTTCCTGATGCCGAAGATAAAGGTAACCTTAAGAATTGCATTTGTGTTATGCTCTCTTGATTTTTATTAATAATAAAAATGTAAACAATTTAAGAAATCATTATGAATGTCTGTTTTCCTAACTAGAATGGAAACTTCATGTCTTTATACCCCCCTTACCCAACCCCATGCATAGCACATTCGACCCTGTTTGATTCAGTGATGATATCTGCCATCACTGCTTGAGTGCTTTCCTCTGTACCAGGTAGTACCCTAATCTGGTAAGTGAGTGAGCTTGATATTTGAAGCAAAGTCTGTTGAGCTATAGAATTCATACACTATTAAATAAATATTATTTATTAAATAATAAATTATTTATTAAATAAGCAACTATTTTATTCAGTAGTGGGCACTAAACATATTGAGCAAATGAGAAAATACTGTGCTAATAGGTATTTTAAATGTGTACAAGTTTAGTAACCTGAGATTAGGAGACATGCCTCATATTCAAATCTTTTTACCATTTAGATAGGACTTTAACTGAAAAGTAAATGATGGTTAATTAAAGGTACAGTAGTCCCTGCTTATATAGGGAGTATATCATTTCAAGGTCCCCAGTAGATGCCTGCAAGCTTGGATAGTACCAAACTCTATACAGTATATACTGTGTTTTTTTAGTCTCGTAACTGAGACGGCTGCTAACTACCTGACTAACAGGCAGGTAGTATGGACAGCATGGATATGCTGGACAAAGGGATGATTCACATCCTGGGTGGGATGGAATAGATGGGGAGAGATTTCATCGCGCTACTCAGAATGGCGTGCAATTTAAAACTTATGAATTGTTTATTTCTGGAATTTTCCATTGAATATTTTCAGACCTGGTTGACCACGGGTAGCTGAAACTGGGGAAAGCGAAACCACAGATAAGGGGGGAGCTAATGTAAAATGGCTAAAGTCAACATTTGCTGCTATTTTGAGACAATTTTAGGTCAAAATGAACTTAGCAAAGCATTGGCAATTAGGTCATTCTTGTAATTCCCCAAAACTGAAATGCGTATTAAAATGTTTTAAAGGCATAGATAGTGGAGATTTTAATTTTGTCAGGGTTATAATTCTCTCCTTTCTTCCTCCTCCATTGAGATTGGGTTACCATGGTGTTTGTAGTATTAATAGCTTAGCTCTTCTCACAGATAGCGTTTCATTCTGACCCCAGAAACACAGATAGATGGGCTTTAGTTGCCTAGATCTGGGGATTAATAACTCATTTGGGCTTACGGATATGACAGGATCATATTTTAAAGATCCAGAAGTGAATGAGTCCATGTAAAACTTGGGAAGTATTGCAGACTGAGACTTGGAAATCAGATCCTAGTTTTCTTTCTACTAATCTCTTAGTTTGAGAGGATAACTAAAGCAAGTGGTTATTGGCTGTTTTATGTATTTATCCTTGTGCCCCGCATTGTCTTTCAGAACTAATGTAAGATTTGCCCCTCACTTTCAAGGAGCTTAAAAACTAGTTGGAGAGACAAAGCTAAATTGTGTTCCCAAGTTATATGGAAAAATTGGAAAACATTGAGCTCAGTCCAACTTTGTTGTTGTTGTCTGTGTTTTTGTTTGACGGAGTAGAGGGTTCATAAGTCTTTTCTGACAATGTAAAGAAAGTTCCAGACCCTCTCTCTCAGAAAAACCAAACTGTAAACTTTGCATATGATACATAGTCCCTGAGCCCATCTGTGGATCCCTGTGGTTAAGAGTGTCTGATTTAAAAATGTTTCCACAAGTCATCCTGATTAGGAGCAGAAAGGAGAGGTCAGTGTGTGTTGGAGGAGTGAGAAAACGTGGTAGAGAAGTAGGACCTGAGCTGAAACTCTGGCTAATGGTAGAACTTGAGTAAGCAGAGGATTTTGAGCAAGATGTTTCCAGCAGGGGGAAGCATAGTGTACACAGCTGTCTGATTAAAATAGAGGCTGTGTGTGTAGCAGAAGGAAAATAAAGTTGGCTAAGTGCAGTGGGCCTGAATTATAGGGGGCCCTGGAAGCCAAGGAAAGGCATTTAGCTTGATGGGGCAGGCACTGGGGAACCATCTTAGGTTTTTTAAGCAGGAGACTGATATAACAAAAGCAGAGACAGTAGTTTATAAAGAATATTCTGTAGGATTAATTTAGAAATGAGGAGACTGCAGGCAGAGATGCCAGCTTAAGAGGCTGTTATAGTAATCAAGGGCTGATGTAATAAATGCCTGGACCAACGGGACAGCAGTAACAGGAGGAAGGGTTTAATCTGACATCTTTGGGTAGAAAAACTATGGACTCTAAAATGTTAATACTTCTCTCACCCCCAGTTTATTTTAAAGAAGAGGGGATTACTTTTTTAATACTAGTTTTTATGTAATAAGATATTTGAAACTACTTGAAATTTAAAATGGCTTCCTTAAATGGACCGTGGATAATTGTTTTTGAAATAATTCAGTGTTTCAAGATACTAATTTATTTTTAGGCATCTGCTAATTGAAGTAACTTTGAAGCTGCTATTTTCTTTTTAAAAATATTTTTATGATTAAAATACAGAAAAGTATAGAGAATAATATAACAGATCCACATGTATCCATTACCCAGAATTAACAAATGCCATTTTTTTATATTTGCTTCATCTCTTTCTTTGTTTAAAGAAACAAAATCTTGCAGACACACTTGAGGTTTCCTTTGGCCTCACTCCCCAGACCCGTTTTCCTCCCTGCCGGTTGAGAGGCAACCACTCTCATAAATTTTGGGTGTAGCCTTCCTGTCCATGTGTTTATCTTTTGCTACATAAGTACATGTTCATAAACCATACATAGTTTAAAAACGTATATAGTTTCATAACATAACTCCAATATGTCTGCAACTTGTTTTTTTACTCATTTGTTTTTAAGGTCTGTCTATATACAGCCAGTTTACGTATCTATTTGTTTTTGTTAATGGTGAGGAGTGGTTTGGGGAAAATGTTCTAGTTCATTGGTTTAAAAAAATTCTTTTGGCCATTAGGGGGTGCCAAGGCAGCATTAAGTGGCTGCTTGCTACATGATGGAGAGATACAGAAGGCGGCCTGTATTAAGGACCTTGAATACTTTCCTTTCTTGCTGCTTCTCCAAAAGAAACTAAACCATTTTGGTAGATACGATTAATCATAGTCTTTTGAAGTTTCACTATAGGCATGCTAATGAAAACTCTGTACAGAAAATGGAATAGTCTTTAAATTCCACCCAGGAAGAGGTTCTATAACCTCATTAGAGTTAATATAAGTTGTTTTGGGATATTAGTGCAAAAATAAGGATTTATTATAAAATCTGTGATTAACCCATCTTTCCTGATTCTTTACATATAGTCACTAAGTCCTGTCAATTTTACCTTAGATAGGTGTTCTCAATTTGGCTGCTTTGCTCTCCTCTTACTGTCCCTAACTATTTTAGTTTAGGTTACCCTCCCTCACCGTTCACCTTAACCAGGCCATCAGCCTTCTAACTGGTTTCCCTCTCAAGTGGATTCCCTAAAAAGTTTTCTCCTCTGCCTATCCCCTACAAATTTGCTATTTTCCTTAAAATAAATTATATGCGTGTTATTTCCTGCTTTAAAAACTGAGGCTAGCCCTCTACTGCTAACAAAAAAAGAGCCCACACTGTCCTTCGTTAGAAGATGCTTCAAAGTGTGACCATTTGCAACTTGTCTTTCCTTCTTAATCCCCGTATTTTTCCCCCTTACTCCTTATGTTTCAGTCACAGTGCATTTGTCATTCTCTTGAGCATGCCATACCCTTTGTCACTTCGGGCAGGGGGTACAGCAGGCAGAGAGAAGGACAAGAAAGCCTATATAAATATATTTATCTTATCACTTTTCTCCTACCTTCTTGGAAACAGCCATTGTTAATCTCATTTTGTAGGAATTGTTACTGTTTATGACCATCTGGCAATCAAAGTTCCATTGAATGTCATCTTTAGATGCAATAGTTTATTAACTTTAGAAAACAACAATGTCGTCCAGCGCTATTGGGATGTTCTTGTACAAGCTTTTGTCCAAAATGGCACAGTGAGCACAGAAGGTGAGTACTTAAAGTATATATTTCTATACTTGGATCCTAATTTAAGGTTAGAGTATACCAGGTAGCTTTGTTTGAAATCCTTATCTGAAAACATTTATATATTATGTAAATTATATATATTAAGGCTTATTCATAGCTTCCACTAGGCTGTAAAGTTTTTATAAATAATAGCAATTCTTATTCTTGTGGAACTTTCAATTTAAAATTATAATGTATATGTTGTAGAATGGTCTTTTAAAAGGCTCTATCCATAATGTTTTCAGCTGATAAAACCTAATCTTTGTTTGAACAGGTCCTCAAATTGCTTGATCATCAGCTCTTTAGAAGTTCGAAGACCAAAGCTTAGATATTAGATTTCTATGTTCTAATCTTGAATTTTGTTTTTTTTCATAGTCCGTTTTTTATTTTTATTTTTTTCCATTTATTTTGTATTTGTATATATTCATGGGTACAAGTGCAATTTTGCTACATTGATATATTACTTTGTAGTGAAGTCAGGGCCTTGAGTGCATCCATCACTGGAGCAACACACATTATACTCACCAAACAACCTCCCATCATCCACCCCCTGCCCCGCTACTCGAGTCTGTATTGTCCATTATTTCACATTCTGCTTCCATGTGACTCTTGAATTTTGTAAGTGGATTGTGTAACTTTTATATGGCTTTATGGAAACGTAATAATTTCTCATTCACCAGTTCTGTCAAACTACTAACACTTCCTAAGAAGAGGTTGAGATGCCTATGATTTGCTGTAGGAGTAAAGCAAATAAAAGGTTAATTTGAGTTGATCATTACACATTCTGCGCCTGTAACAAAATATCACATGTACCCCATAAATATGTACAAATATTATGTGTCAATAAAAAATTCTAAAAATAAGATTTATTTGTATTTAAATCCTTCAATGATTTCTAAACTTTTCTCTAATAAACAGTATCCTTCCTTATAGTGGTTGTATGTGAGAATGAAGAAGGCAAGCTAGGTAGGGATGAAATGTTTTCAGACTTAAAATCTTTGAATTTTATGTCAGGGACAGGTGAAGTTCTTTGGTGATAAAAGGATTTAAGGTTCTGAAAAACATAAATGTGCGGCCATGTGTGAGAAGATAAAGCATTTGGATATGTCCCAAGTTTGTCTGCTGTGTCATAACTTGTAGAGATTGTATATGAAGCAGCAGTTTGAGAACCTCTGCCTCATTTAGTTTAAAATATACTAAGAAGATAATCTCTTCCCCTAATATAACCCTCTTGGACTTCTATTGTGAGAAATAGTTTTCTCTTCCATAGCCTTATGAATTAAGAAAAAGTCACTTTAGTTTCTTTTGTCTTTCTGGTTTATTTTAGAGCATCTGTGTGATCAAGACAAAACTTCAACAACAGTAACACCCATCATTCACACCACTGTTCCATCTCCTACCGCAAAACCCACTCCAGTGGAAAAACCAGAGATCGGGAAGTATTCGGTTAACAATACCAATGGTACTTGTCTGCTGGCTACCATGAGGCTGCAGCTGAACATCACTCAGGATAAGGTATAGGTGCCTATTTTTATCCCTACATCCTTTTCATATTTCCTTGCAATTACTGTGTATCCTAACCTTCAGCCCAAGGGTAGCATTACTAGAATGATTCAGTTTTAAATGGAGATTTGATGTTGACTTGTTGAGCTTTGATTAGTTAGGAGTTACTTTATTAATATATCATGAAGAGTTAATGCCACTTTCAAGGTGTTGTCTTAGCCAGCAGAAAATCTAGCAGTTTCAAGGACTCTTTGGGGTTTAGATTCTATTTACCATCAGTAGATCAGAGTACAAACAGTTGATCTTTATTTCAGTCAGTTTAAAATATAACTTCATACTTTGATCTGAAACACACTGTATGTTGGTGTACAGGAACAGTGCAACTGTCTGTTTCTCTAGCTCTTTGATGACTCGGATTGTCTAGGTATGCTCAAGTATATGATGGCACTTCTAGTTGCAGTGTTCCACTGAGACTACAGAGGGAGTGCCAATAAACAAATCCCATTTCCAAAATCCTGTGACTTAAACAAGCTAGACAGATGCCTCTTGTGCTCTATAAAAATGTGTGTTTTCATTTGGCTCATTACCGAGGAAGCTTCCCTCTTTTTTTTTTTTTTAAGTCATCTGAGTCATAGCTTGAGGGCCCATGCCAACTTTGTTTGAAAGTAAGACACCATGAATTTAAGTATCCAGACAAAGGATTTTTTGTTCTACACTGAAGTTGGTCTTACTAGAGTGTAAGGCTTTGCTGTAAACTTTTATAGCTAACCTGTACCTTTCCTCCCTCTTCTTCTTCTGAAGGTTTCTTCGGTTTTTAACATTAAGCCCAATTCAACTGACTTCACAGGCAGTTGCGATCCTCACACTGCTCTACTTAGGCTGAATAGCAGCACCATTAAGTATCTTGACTTTGTCTTTGCCGTGGTGAGTAACGTATTTTTATAAAGTTAGGTTCATTCTCTTAGAAACACATCTGAAAGTCTAAATAGCTGTGTGTGGGGGGGACTAGGGGAGGAGGGTAGTTAGCTTAGTTTTCCATTTCAACACTACTCAACTATAAAGTGTAGTCCATTGATCCCTGTTCATCCCCTCAGAGTCTGTGCAGTGGTCTGTGGACGGGGATCTTATATTAATGTTCAGTAACAGTGACCATTCTGCCATTATATAAACTCTAGGGTAGGAGCAAGAATTAACTCACATCAGAAAAACTATCTGTGTAATCTATCCATATATAAGTAATTTCCATGATAATCTTTTTCTCTATTGTTGATTAGACAGTGCTCATGTTTCTCTATGATAGTATTTTAAGCCTTTTAGAGGCTATACTATTTATAATAGTGTCAGCAATAAAAACAGCTAACATTTGTTGAATACTTTGTACAAGGCTCTGTGTAAGTACATGCATTAATTCATTAAGTCAGGATAGTTTATAATGGCAGCATTTAGATTTTTGTGGTTGTTCATGCTTTTGTATCAAGAGCTGAAAGCTAAACAGAAAGTTGTAGGTTAGGCTGGGCGCGGTGGCTCATGCCTGTAATCCTAGCATTCTGGGAGGCCGAGGCGGAAGGATTGCTCAAGGTCAGGAGTTCAAGACCAGCCTGAGCAAGAGTGAGACCCCGTCTCTACTATAAATAGAAAGAAATTAGCTGGACAACTAAAAATATATAGAAAAAATTAGCCGGGCATGGTGGCGCATGCCTGTAGTCCCAGCTACTCGGAAGGCTGAGGCAGCAGGATTGCTTGAGCCCAGGAGTTTGAAGTTGCTGTGAGCTAGGATGACGCCACAGCACTCTAGCCCAGGCAACAGAGCAAGACTCTGTCTCAAAAAAAAAAAAAAAAAAAAAAGAAAGAAAAGAAAGTTGTAGGTTAAGCATACCTGTTCTGCTTCTTTCTAGCATAAATGAATCACTGAGAAGCTTTATTTCCACCTTGTCAGATACAATTATTATTCCTGTAATTTTTATGAGGGAGGGTGTGTGTGTCCATGTTGTGGCGAATGGGAATGGTGGAATAGGGGATAGTTATAGATGAGAGAAAATGTCAAACCACCAACAGTTCTTAAACTAAGAGCTATCATATAATTGTATAAAAACCAGCTTTACTTTTAAATCACATTATTTAAGGATGGGGAAATAGTCTCAACATCTGATACATAAAAAGTAGGTATGCTGTAATTTCGTATCTGAACTTGGTATCTTGAATCTAAAGCCTTTTTTCTCTATAGAATATATGCTGAATCATTGAGATTATGTTAGGCAATTGCATTTTAGAAAGGTTTACAAAGATCTTCCTTTTTCCAGCATTGAAATAATCCCTCTGTTCTAGTACATACATGACCAGCAAATTGGTATTGAAAATGTCTAATTAAACTTGTCCTCTTCAATATGGGAAGATCAGGCCTCCCCAGGAACATTCTCTTTTAAAGTTATCTCATAGGGGTTATGGTCAATAAGAAGGAGGAAAGTAATATTTTAGGTTCATTCCCTTTTGAGTGATTGAGTTTGATCTTTCTAGCCATGGTAGACTTCTAAAAGGAACATGGTTTCTTCTGACTCTCATGGGGAAATGTTTAATATTTAATAATTACAATATTTAATTTGCCTGGCAGACTGTTTTAAAATGTAATCCAAAATAGTGCCATTTTAACCATGCTACAGGCACTTTGAAAAATCAAGAGACACCTGCAATGTCACCAGAGTTCATCGGGGCCCATGTCATCTTCAACACTTTCATGATAGATACTCCTTTGGAAAATTTATAGAATTTTGAGTATGTTACATGCAGGCTGCTATGAGTGGGATACAAAGAAGAAAGCCTATATTCTTAAGGTGCTTGCAGTTTAGTGGTAAAGAGGGAAATACACAAATAATTACCATTTTTGTGGAAGGCCTAAATGCCTTGCCAAGGCTTTTGAACTTGATTCTGTGGGCAGTAGAGTACTATGGAAAGTGCATGCAAAATGGGATGAGTGCCAGACCAGAGGTTAGTACAGAGTGCCGTGGGAGAACAGAGGTTGGAGAGGTTAATTCCGGCTGGAGGAGAGTCAGGAAGGTTGAATGGAAGTTATGGCCTTTGAGCTGGGCCTTCAAGGATGGGTCAGATTTGTACATAGGGAGATAAGGGGAGTAAGTGGAAAAGTACAGGTTATCCCTGGATAAAGGAGCATAATCAAGACCAGCTGGGAGAATGAGGCATGTGACATGTTTAGTGAAAGTATGGAAAAATAGTTGGGACAAATTGTGGAGAGCCTTGAATGCCAAGCTGAGACATAGCCTAAGCAGAGGAGGGACTCAATGAGGTCTTCAGGTCCTCCTTTCTGCTTCTTCCTGGCATGTCTCTGGTCTTTCCCCTAGCTTTCCCTCCCCACTGCCTTTGCTCTGGGTCCAGCCCGCATTACCTCTTGCCTGAACTGTTCAAACAGCTGCCTACCTGCTTGCTCCTGTTCCTCACCTCTCCCAGTGTTCTTCTGCGTTAGCTTAATCCTCCTAAAGCACATCTCTTCCTGAGAAACCTTCCAGTGGTTCTGTTTTGCCAGCAAGGTAACATCTCAGGTTCCTGGCCAGGTAGTTCGAGTCCCTCTTGCCCCACGCAGTGTAAACCTGCATTTCCAGCTTTGTTTCCTTCGTTCCTTCTTCATAAACCTTATGCTTCCCTCACTCTGTCCACTGTGCACATCTTGTGAGGCAGGAGAGCATAGTAGTAATCAGTACACAGATTCTGCAGTCAGACTTCTTGGGCTTAAATCCCAGCTCACTGACTACTAACCATATAGCCTTGGGGGAAGTTACCTAACATCTCTGTGCTTGATTGCCCCATCCCCAAATGTGGATAATAATAGCATCTATTGCATAGGGGTGTTGTAATTATTCAGGGGAGCCTCATATGTAAAGTTTTAAGAACAGTGCTTGGCACTTAGTAAGTCCTCAAATGCTAGTGTAAAAACTTGTGATTATGCTTGTTTTCTGACTACCTTTACTCATGTAGTTGCCCTCTTGGACACCCCTTTTCTGCTTGTTTCCTAATGGAATCCTACCCAATTCAAATGCCCCGTCCCTAAGCTGGCATTACTTTTGCTCTTCCCCTAATTGGAAGTAATTTATCTCCTATTTTCATAACTTCTCACTTCTTTTTTGTAATATGGTTATTTATTTATGTATTTATCTTAGCTTCCCTGGCAGATTGCAAACAGGGTGAGGAGGGCAGGATCCAAGTCTGATTGATTTTGCTAGCTCGCTGGAGCACTAGCGCTCAAATAATTAGAATGACTGGCTGATCAGATGAATGTTTCAGAAAGATAATAGCAGTGAAAAGGAAAGATTAGAGCTGCAGGGGCCAAAAGTCAGGGAGCCCAGTTAAGAGGCTATCGTGATCCAGACTAGAGGTGATGAGGGCTCAGCAAGTGACAGGAGGAATAAAATTGAGGGCATGAATCATCGAGTGTCCAAGAACCACACGACTACACCTGTGGGCCAAAAGCTGGAAACGAAATACGGGGGGAAAGGGTTTCCGTCACATTTCAAGTTCTCTTTTACTTAGTTGCAGTTTATTCTACTGCATGGTTTCTTCTGTGTAATAGTATTAGATTGTTTTTCTTCTATAGATGTTACCTTTAGCTGTAGACAATTGTGATATGTTGATTAACTGGAAGCTCTTTTTCAAACAGAAAAATGAAAACCGATTCTATCTGAAGGAAGTGAATGTCAGCATGTATTTGGTTAATGGCTCTGGTAAGTGAAGCATTGGCCTGGGGAAAAGAATGTGGGTTACACTGAAGGAATAGAAACCATATGGTCTTGTTACCAAATAGTGCCTTATTTAATAGAACAGAAGATGCTATATTAAAAGTATACCTTGACCACACTTAAAATCAGTAACTTAGAACTGTGGTATTCTGTCTTTTGTAGTATCCCATCTTTTCAAAGTATAATGGATAATAATTAAAGATGTGACTGATTTTTAGACTATAGAAACATCTATAGAAAGATAAGGGAACCTAGTGATGGTAAGAATTGCTTTTTGTGGGTAGGCCCTGTCCTCCAAGCTCCCGTACTTCACTGCAAAATCCTGAGGACTGTCTCATTTTTGGTGTTGATAAGATAAGAAGTTAGTAACTTGTTTCTTTTCTTTAAAGTTTTCAGCACTGTAAATGATAATCTCAGCTACTGGGATGCCCCCCTGGGAAGTTCTTATATGTGCAACAAAGAGCAGACTATTTCAGTGTCTGGAGCATTTCAGATAAATACCTTTGATCTAAGAGTTCAGCCTTTTAATGTGACAAAAGGAAAGTATTCTACAGGTAAGAATCAAGCAAACTTTATTGAAAATTTATGTTCTTATGTTGACCGATAGGTGGCTTTTCCTTTGAGTCATGGAAATTTAAATGTTGAAATAGAGAAATATGAATTCACCTCTCGACTCTGTTGTAGAGTTCTGATAGCCTTGAGCCAGTTGTGTAGCTTTATATTTGGCTCATCATTTTGCTGAAACTAGACGTTTTTGTGATCTGAAAACCATTTGCAACCAAGTTCTTAAAGCCAAAAACTGATATAAGCTGTAAGTGAGCTTTACTTAAGGTACAGATGTTCCCCCTAGGTTTTAATTTGTGGGAAAGAGGATGGCACTTGGGAGCTATAGTTTTGAGCATCTTGCGTGTACCTTCTCAGGGCCATCTTCTTGCTGAAAACATTTTCATAGCTGCACGAAAGCAGTTTGGTCTGATTTTGTTAAGACAAAAGATAAACAGCAAAGCCTCAGATATCATGAACTATGTTTTTGCCAACCAAAATGATCTGGAGAGTTTTCAAAGCATGTGCTAGTATGAATGAAGCTCTTTGAAGTTCTACTCAGGGCTAATTGTGGTATTTATTAGATTTTTAATGAAACCCTTGTGAAGGGCCCATTATGATGTGTTCATATGAATATGAAAGATATATTTGGCATTACAGGATAAAAATTTGCATGAAGAGAAAAAGGAACACAAAATTCCTTAATTGATTTGTCCTTTAAGCCCATTACTAAAAATTGGGGGTTTGTATATCACAACTGGGTGCTAAGTGGAGCTGTTCCAGTAATCCATGTCCTTTTTAACAATTAATTCTTTGGTTTAGAAGAAAATGTGGAAGCTGTGTTTGAATATATTGTGAACCATTCAACGGCTTTTGCAGTGGTGCCAAATACCTAGTCTGACTTGGTTAGGCCACAATAAATTGGGCTCTTCACCCTACCATTCTTGTGACTAGAGAGGTTAATCACACTTTAAAAATATGTTCAAGAATTCATTTTTCCTTTTGTCTGTTTTGTTTATGTACTTCAGTTATTTTGATCCTTTAATAGGTTTATTTTTAGATTTTTTTATCTGGCTTCCCTGCATTATTACCCTAATTTCAGGTCCAAATTTGAGTTTAGAGTTTAAAATAATTTGCAGTGTTAATATTAGTTCAAGTCTGTTTATCTAGTCAGCTGTAATACAGATGAGCTATGCTCTTTCTCTAATTTGAAACTTTGATTTTTACATACGCTGAATTTAAAATGTCACCCAAAGGGATATGCAACATTTAATACTGATATTGAATGTGTAATCTATTTATGGAACTAGGTTCTTGGCTATGGGTACCTATAAATGCAACACATAGGTAATATTTGACTGTATAGGGGGAGGAAATAGAATTGCAGTAAAGTAGGAGAGTGTTGATTAGATATTACTGGATGAGGTGACTTTCTAGAAATAGGAAAAATAGCTCCCATGGGCTGCCAGTCCTGACCAGATTGACAAGAAATGTAGTAAACACACTCAAATTAGTCAGAGGTCCCAGTCTCTTGACTTTTGCAGCCACTAAAATCATATATTCTAAGTTAGGGATCTGCAGACTTTTTTTGTAAATGTCCAGACAATAAGTGTTTTAGGCTTTGGGGCCATATGGTCTCTGTCACAACTATTCAACTCTGCCATTGTAGCACAAAACAGCCATAGGCAATACATAAACAGATGTGTGTGGCTGTGTTCCAATAAAATTTTATTTATGGGTACTGAAATTTGAATTTCATGTGCCTTTCATGTGTCACAAAATATTCTTTTTTTGTTCAACCCCTTAAAAATGTAAAAGCCATTTTTAGTTCTTGGGCCATGTTTGGCCCATGGGCTATAGTTTGCTGACCCCTTACTCTGAAGGAACGCCAGAGCCAGCCTGGCTGTTCTAATCCCATGATGCTTTCCTGATCTGTTCCCCGTTTCCCAAAAGACATTCACTCTACCACTGAGGTGCTAATCTGTCTATGTAGAAATGGGCTAGATTAACTCTATTCATTTCTGATAAAGCAATACTCCTGTTTTGGAAAGGACTTGGAATATAAACATATATACATGTGTATATGTATATATATCATATAATACAAACTGTATTTATTCATAGATATAAATGATATATATGTATTCATATATATGAATATCTGTATATACACACACAAACACAAATGAAAAGACAAATATGTTTTAGGATTTTAATTCTAGAACCATCCATAATTTTCTGTAGCTTTATCATAAAACTATACCTGTTTTAGTTACTTGAAGTTGATCTTGTAAGAGTGTTTCTGACTTTTGAATCAACATCTTTTAGTTTTGGACATTCTTTTTTGATTATACTCATTATTTGTTACACACTTTTTCTCATCTACAGCCCAGGAGTGTTCGCTGGATGATGACACCATTCTAATACCAATTATAGTTGGTGCTGGTCTTTCAGGCTTGATTATCGTTATAGTGATTGCTTACCTAATTGGCAGAAGAAAAAGTTATGCTGGATATCAGACTCTGTAACACTAATCCATATGTGATCTCTGTTACAAAATAATAAAGCAAGTACAAGTTCCAACATGCAATACTGTTCAATTTAAGGTATATTTAGTTGCAGTCCTGCTCTTAGAATGGGTGGTATGGGGGATTTTGAACTTTAAAAAACCCTGCAAAACTATAAGCTACAAATTAGTCATGTGATTTTTGGTTTCCCCAACCAAGGAATATAAAGCTTTTATTTCTACAGCAAAAGACAAGTACAAAATCACCAGATAATAGGTTCTATTTTCTTGTTTTGAATTATTATTTCAATGTTTTCACTTTAGATACTCTGCCTAGAAATATACAGTTTAGGAAAAATGATTTTTAAAAAGAGATTTTTTCCTCCTGCATGTAGTTGAGTTCGGACAACACATTCTACAGTGGATTTGTACTTGCTCCTTTTGCATATTTTGGGGGGGATTTTTGTTTGCAGGGTAGTAGCTACTTCAGCATTGCTGCGTATTTGACCTGTGAGAGAGATGCTAGTAGATTTGAACAGGGTCTCGTATTATGATGTTCTTAGCAATGAATGCTTTTCTAATGCTTTTTGAATACATTTGTATTTAATGTGACTGTAATGACAAAAGATACAAAAGCTTTTTAAATTTCAGAATAAGTGTTAATCATATTGTTTAATACTTTAAAAAACTGGGTATTTCAATCTTTTAAATTGCAAGATACACACCTATTCCAACTGGGCATTTCAATCCATTTTTTAGGTGCTTTAGAGATAATTGCTAGGCAGTGCCAATTGAGGGCATTAGTCCTTTGTACCCATAAATTGGCCTCTACATGCAGGACTAAAATGAATACAGATTTCTCTTTAGCCTTCCAGTATTCTTTGTTGGTAGTATATGTTTTATTCTTTTCTTTTTCTTAAGGAAGAAATGGCAGTATGTCCTAGAACCTCGATAAAGAAGTGCACTTACACTTATAAAATAACTTGCACCTAACCCAGAAGTCTTGGTCTTCTCTTAGTCCATTAAAAAGTTGTTTTTTGTTTCCAGCATACATTGATTGTCACAGCATTTACTAATTTGGCTTTCACATTTAAATGGTTCTGTGCTAATCAAAACTTATATTGTTATTGTTCATTATAATGAAATCATTGTTAATTCATGTACTTCGTATTCAGTTTTGTGCTCTGAGAGACGCACCAATTGTCCATTTGCTGTGTGCCACCTGATGTTTATAGGAGAAAGCAAAACATTTCAGCTTGATAGTTAACACATCAAGTATTTCTGCTTGTAGGAGAACTTTTTTTTTCGGTATTGAAATGGCTGAGCAAATTTCAAGAAATTATTAATATGCGGCCCTATATGGAAGATTCCTGTGGGGTTTTTTGGGGGGTGATTATGTACCTCCCATTCAGTAGAAATTGAGAAAATATCTGGGTTTCAAAATACCGATGTTGACTACATCAATACACACACACACATACACACGTGCATGCATATACACGCACATATATAGGCAATTGCATGCTAGCATGTGTATAACTATCTTTCTAGTTATATTAGAGTGATAAATATTTTCTCTCACTTAAATTTGCTGTTAGCCTGAAAATCTTACTGGCTCAGAATCAGATTCCTGACTAACTCCTCTCTTAGAGCTACATTGAGCTGGATTGCCAGCTTGAAAGCACTTATTAAATACTAAATATAAATCTGATTTTAATTATTTTTTATTTAAACTGTGTTTTAGGGTAAAACTGTTAACCTTATGAGAATGAATTATGAGACCTTGGGCCTTAGATACTCCTCATGAGTCAAAAAAAAGCAGCTTTTTAAAAAAAATAAAAATTGGAAGCACAAGTGGGCATCACTGGCTTAATGCTGTTAATGTTTCTAAAAGTTTCTACGTTTAGATTATATGCCTGATTCATATTAAAATACCTCTAATAAGCACTGTTTTATAGAAAATCTGACTTCGGTGAATATTTTTGTATTTTACATGGGCCAGTTTGTATACTGCTATTTACACCATTATTTCCTGTAGCCGCATGTTCTTTATACCTTTTGTAGTTTTATTTGTTTTACTGGGTTTACACCTTGATGGTAGCACTCTATTTGGTTTGGGATGTTGTTTATGTTTTAGCATTTGTATAAAGAAACTGGTCCATGTAAATACTTTCCATGTTTCTTCCTCAAATGTTTAAACCACTAGTTGATGTATGGTATCTCTCTTTAGATATTTGCCTGTCTGTTTACTCAACATTGCTTCTAAAACAATAAAGATTCTTTTATTTCTTAAGGAAATTTGCTCACATTTTTTCCCGTTGGTTAATAGAAATACTTAGAAATACAACTAAATTATTTCTAAAATGTTTTGTCTGTGTATTACAATCTGGAAGAATAGTCCCATACATAGGCCTCAACTGATGCTAGGCTGGCTACAGAATAAGAATCACCTGGGAAGCGTGTTATAAAAATACAGATTCCAGGCCGGGCGCGGTGGCTCACGCC